CATGGGACGAGCTTGACTAGTGGACCCGGGTTAATGTGAGGGCCATGGGACGAGCTTGACTAGTGGACCCAGGTTAATGTGAGGGCCATGGGACGAGCTTGACTAGTGGACCCGGGTTAATGTAAGGGCCATGTGACAAGCTGCAATAGTTGTCTTAAAATGAACCGAGGGACATAAGACAAGCTCTAAACGTTTCCTTGTATAAATCGAAAGTCATTTGACCAGCGCAACCTGTGGCATTAAATCGAGGTATAGATGACAAACGTGAATTTTAACCTTCGACTGAGTTGATGACCATGTGAAATGTTCGAATATTTCCTTAAGAGTAAATATAGGACCTTCATTAGGAGCTAGATAGTAGCTTTAGATTAAATTGAGGACTATATGACATGGCCTCCTACTAGCTTTACAATAAATTAAGATTCCGTTGACCAGGCTCCGCCGTATAGTTATTGTTCCGCTGTTTAAAAATGAGCTAGCTTTCGTTTCGTTTTTTCCGCCCTGCTGCAGCCTATCAACAGTGGCTGTATAAGACGAACATTATCGGGTTATCTAGCGACATGAACTTGGCAATCAGTATTTCAGTAGAGCCAATTTATTCTATTGCTGTTGGATCACTTTTCATCTTAAACACGTTTTCTTGGAACATGATGAATACGTATGATGAGTGTTATTGAATATACGAGTGATTTGAACGTTAAAAATCAATTAAAATTTCTTGAAGACGCAAATGTCACGATTAAATTCTGTCTGTTGCGTGACTTTTGAGGCTAAGATTTTATATTCGATTTATAGCTTTTTTTATTTTATAGCTTTCGATTGAAAGTGTAATTTTTCTAGTAGTAGAGATAAAATCTTCATCTTGTATAACTGTCCCACTGTACTAACTATTTAGTGTCACGCCAATTAAGTTGTAATAACTAGCATATATTTAAATACAGTTATTCTCTGGCAGAATAATAATGACTATCAAGTAATATAACATATTCATGCCATGGTATAACAATAATAGCGGACATACTTCTAGTACCGACATAGCCTACTTACTAACTAGCTATTATTTTAATATAATTTTAGTCCGGTTCAACGTAGTAATAATCTAATATCCTTGTATCATCTTGGGACTGTAAAACTCATTAGAATTCGTAAAAAAATGCATCTTGAAGTCGGTGATTGCGATGTTGTTATGACGGAGCCAGCGACGTTTTCTCATTTTTCTTAGAAATAATTCATTTGTTGTTGCCATGGCAACAGCATAGCAGCCATCTGTCAACTAGGGTTTTAATTTGATTGTTTGTATCTCATATATTATTAAAGAACATCTAGCTCATGAAATGCTGCTACAAATTCATGTTTTTTATTTATGACTTTTTTAACATTAAAAGTTATTTTACTTATAAGGTTATTTGTATGTTTCACTCTAATGAATATTTTTTAGTTAAGCTGTCTTATTGTTCATTAAAAATGTCTATAGTTTGACAGTAATTCGTAGAAAATTTCTTTATATTATTTTTTTGTTGTACGTTGTTTGTTGAAAACTATTAGACGACATATAAAAAATGTTAATTTATTTATATTGAGATAGAAAGTAAAAATTCGGAAACTCCTCTTGGATTACAAATTTAAATGAATAACGCACTCATTTCAGCCTAAACGAGAATTTAATCGTGCATATTTTTTCGAAGTACCGAAACGATCACTGAAAATAAATTGAAATTTGAAGCCAATTGTTTTTTTATCCCTCCAAATCAATATACTCGTACATTGTCGTACAGCGATCATTCAGCCGAAAAAATTATACATATTATTCAACCGCACATGAAGCGGTTGATATATTGACCGGATTATTCAACCGTACACAAAGCGGATGAGAAATAGACCATATTATTCAACCGCACGTGAAGCGGTTGAGAAATAGACCGTATTATTCAACCGTACATGAAGCGGAAGAGAAATAGACCGTATTATTCAACCGTACATGAAGCGGATGAGAAATAGACCGTATTATTTAACCCTAAATGAAGTAAACGAGATAAAGACCATATTATTCAACACAAAAAATATCCAACGGCGGAATTTTGATTGAATTTTTTTTAATATGGCCGATTGATTCGTCTTGAGTTTATTAAGACTCAATGGGACGAACTGGCCGTAGATATCCTAATTACCAGTCGCGTTACCTTCAAAGTTTGGACGGTCATTTCACGCCCGACAATGACCGTATAAATTGTAATTCAATTAATGAGCAAGTATTGGGCTAGACGATTTGAAACTCCAATGACAAGCTTAATTCAATGTACTAAAGATACTAAATTATAGCAAAACAAATCGGAACGGATTATCTTTACAAACGGATGCGAAACTAAGAACTAAGCAAATTATCAAATCGGATACCCTGAACGAATATTTGCAAATCGGGCACGAGAGCTACAATAAATCCAATGCGCGGAGAGAAAGTTAGAGCAAGGAGTTCTTGAGATTAAGCGGAAGATCCATAAAACAGAAAACAAGAAAACATGAGTAAATACCTACGCATAACAAATCAATAATTTCACTATAACCGCGGCATTTAACAAAGCATTCAAATTTAACCACCATCCGACGCAGCAAGTAACCCTGGCGTCGGAGTTTAATTCCTATAAGAGAGGAACCTGTTAGACGCCAGTCGGGATCAGCAGCTTAACTGACGGATCAAACCAATTTAATGACCACGTCAATGCTGGTCGCGCTTAATCTTTGCGGTCTGATTGCCAGTAGTGGAAAAATTTGAATTCTATTGCATTACACACAATGCACTTAATAATCGGGCTTGAAGGAGTCACCAACATTCAGTAGGCCCAATTACACTGTTGACCGTAATAAATTTTTTCGAGCCCTTACTCCGTTTGCATCTTCATGCAATTCTAATAAGCGTGATCTAAAACTACACAATCACGTTTTGTGAACCATTGATTCGGAACAGAGATTATCTTGCAATAAAATAGACAAATCGCAATATCACTAAAATGAATATATAGCAGTTTTTACACGATTAAATTCGGAGCCGCAATTCATTCAGCCCCGTATTTTCCAAAATAAATTCATCACAATATTTTAAATTCAGATGTTGGCCGTACATTAAACATGCACGCGTGTTGTTAACAGGAATTATTCAGGCTGTGTGTTCGAGCAACTCAAACTTGGCTGGAAATTCAGCACTAGACTCTAGTGCTCTAGAGATTCTAAAGCGAGCGGCAGGAATATGACGTGTGGTGAGATTTAATTATTAAACCCCACTTTGCGGGGCTTGAGTCCACTATACGTGGGGATATTCAGGCCCCTCTTGTGGGGAGTAGTCAGTCTCTGGGGACAGTGAGCCAGACCTTCAAAAATGAACCTTCATAACCCCATATATTATGGGGTTACGGGGAGCATAATTAGGGGTTATATGGAGTGTAATTATGGGGTTATATGGAGTGTAATTATGGGGTTATGGGGATCATTATTATGGGGTTATGGGGAGTATAATTAAGGGGTTATGGGGAGCATAATTATGGGGTTATGGGGAGCATAATTATGAGTTTATGGGGAGCATAGTTATTGGGTTATGGAAACATAATAATGGGGTTATGAGAATAATTATGGGGTTATGGGAGCATAATTATGGGGTTATGGGGAGCATAATTATGGGGTTATGGGGAGCATAATTAAGGGGTTATGGGGAGCAAAATTATGGGGTTATGGGGGGGCATAATTTACGGGGTTATGGGGAATATAATTACAGAGTTGAATAGAAATCATAATTACGGGGTTATGGGAGCATAATTACGGGGTTAAATGGAGCACAATTATGAAGTTTTATAGAGTATATATGGGGTTATGGGGAGTATAATATATATAATGGGGTAATAGGGAGAATATTTATGGAGTTATAGGGAGCATAATAATGAGGATGTAAGGAACAAAATTTGTAATAATACTGCAAAGATAGCAGGGATAGGTGAAGGAAACGGTGGAGGAAAAGTCAACGAAACAGAAGAGTGTCAGGTTAACGAAACTGAAGAAAAACAATTGAACTGCTGTAGAAGTAGGATGAACTGCAGTCGAACGAAGTGCTACATGTATGAAGTTTCTTCATTTTAACCGTAAAAACTTTTTATGCCAGGAAAACATCTTCACCAGAAATGTTATTGTTGAATTGCTCAGAATAACCGCTGAACTGCACGTAATTACACGAATTTTCAACCGTAAATATTAGTTCTGATTTCTTTCATGAACTTTTCACCTGGAAATTGAAAAAAAGTTTAATAGATTCATTGAAGGGTCGTTCCTCTTCTTCCTGCACAGTGATATCATTTTTTTTTCTATTATTATGTTGAGTTTGCCTCGATAAAGATTATTTTAGAAGATTTCTTAACAAGTCGCCCTGCTAACCATATCATTCATAACACGCAGTCATTAAATCGTGGAACAAAATTTAAAGGCATGAAGGCATTTTCGTCAATAAAGTCACTTTCATGCCTAGAAAGATGACCACGAATGTTCATGGATTCACAAACACTGAAAAGCATAAATATTATGTACAAACTTGGGAAGTATGTCTTTAAAGAGATATAAATATGAATTTCAAATTATTGAGTACGTGAATTAAGCGAATTTCTAATCTCAAGTCACTGAGTTTCTTTCCTGAGTCCTGAAGAAGTGGAAAGTGCAGAAAAAAAGTGCGTTGTGTTGGTGTCATTTTCACTCATGCCTCACTTTCCTTGCACTTCATTTGAAACAGAAAACGAACAAAGGAAGAAATTCTTCATTAAAACTTCCACTCTGAAGTTTGCAATAAAATCCTTAGGCTCGACAAAATTCTGGAGAGTGATGGTGGCCTTCATATGGTGGATGCGCAGCGTGGATGTGTGGATGCATTAAGTGGATGATATGATGGATGCACTGCATGGATGAAAGTGGATGCATTGAATGGATGATATGATGGATGCGCCGTTTGGATGGAAGTGGATGCATTGAATGGATGATATGATGGATGCGTCGCGTGGATGGAACTCGATGCATTGGATGGATGATATGCAGGATGCGCCGCGTGGTGGATGAATGTTAAATTTTTATTTTAAACGTTGAAAGTGATTAATAATATACATAATGCGATGGAATGTGGATGAAATTTCGGAATGTTGGCGGAGTGATAGAATTTGGATGACGTGAGGGTAGATGAAGTGATGTGGATGAAGTGCTTGAATGCTGACGCATATAAAAGCCTAACTAAACACCGATCCTTCAGCCAAGAAATAAGCTATTAAATGGAATATGATATATCCTAGAATACGTTTCGGAATTTCTTTTAAGAATATGTTTCATTCGTACAAACTGTTGGTGTGATTCGGCGAGTTTAGATTTATCTTTAGTGTAACCCCCACTCATTGAAACTCAACCCCACTACAATATTAGTTAAACCCCCCTCACTGAAACCCCACTCATTGACACTCAACCCAACGCATTACATGTAGAATGAAATATAAATGATAGTTACGGCTTGTATGTTCAGGCATGAAAACTTGAACTTGTCAGGCAATGTGGACCGCGGCCAAAAATATATTGTTTTGATTATCTCAATTTTAATCGAATATGCCTGATGAAAATTCGCATATTTTTTGAGAAAATAACTACGCAGTCATTGTAATTGTAGAGCAAATTTGACAGTGAGGGCCTTTGGAAAAAATCTGAATTTGTTGGTTCACTCAGACATGATATTCTCATGTTTTGCTATGCAGAATATTAGTGAACTGACGTGACTAGTATTAAATTGATTTGAATTGACGCAACTTGAACAGACGTGACTTAATGATGTTAGTATCAAGTGACTGAAGCGATTTAGTAGATGTTAATATATTATTAACCTATTAATAAAAAACATCATTTTAATGTCCGCGGCTCAGTCATGCTTCCCCTCAGTCAATGCAACTCTTGAGTGAATGCATCCCCTCAGTCAAAGCTTCCCCTCAGTCAAAGCATCCCCTCAGTCAAAGCATCCCCTCAGTCAAAGCATCCCTTCATTCAAAGCTTCCCCTCAGTCAAAGCATCCCCTCAGTCAAAGCATCCCCTCAGTCAAAGCATCCCCTCAGTCAAAGCATCCCCTCATTCAAAGCTTCCCCTCAGTCAAAGCTTCCCCTCAGTCAAAGCTTCCCCT